GTCTAAGTGCATTGTTGCCCCTTTCTCATGAGATGGTCTAAGTGTGGTAATTCATGAGCCCAAAACTGTGGAGACCTATGCAAAGCTTGTCAGTCAACTCACAAAGAGCTGGACAAGATCTTTCAAACAGTATAAAATTCCAGAATCAAACTGAACCCACAGCTATTCTTCTATGGGATATTTTAGCTAATGGTGCAAATAAATTATGTTTTATATAAGTCAGCTTTAACTAGTTTTTTTGAGCTCTTGCACCCAAAATATTTGTCAATTATACTGCATCTAAGAGACTAGGTATGCACGCAATCAACTATAATCCAAAGTAGTAAGTGCTCTAAGAGAGTCATGAGGAGCAACTGATTTACTGAGATGCTCAGGGAATGCTTCCTATGTAAGCTGGGCTTTAGGAGTGTGGAAAGGAAACTCCTGGCAGAAGGACGAGCACAAGCGAAGGCAGAGAGGGAAGTGTGCTGGGCATACAATGTCCAAGAAAGTGCTACAGCTGACTGCCACTGGATCACTGAGCTCTTGGTAGGAGAGTGACAAGAACAGAGGCTGGGGCTAGATTCTGAAGAGTGGTTTAAGAAATTTACACTTTAATCTATAAAGAAATTATGAGGATTGAGGAGTGACAAGTGTTTTATAATCAAAACATGGATGGGCAATGGAAAATGGACCAGAGAGGAAAAGAAAAGAAGAAACTGTATCTCCATGCCTTTGTTCATGCTCCATTCTGCCTCCAGGGTGCCCTTCTAACAAATTCCTTATACTGAGCATTTCATTCATCCTGTATCTCACTGCTCAGTACAGGGCAGGTCTTAATAAATATTTCCTAAATAAATAAGTGAAGGAAAGCAAGAACCCACAGCTTCCCCATTCTTCAAGTGAATACTTCAAAAGGCCCACCAGCTCACACCAATTCCCCCCACACAAACACACACACAACCCTGACCCCACATCCATTCCTTCTTCTTTGACCTGTAGTCCTGTTTTGCTCATTCCAATCTACATAATGAATGCCCTGCACTACTATTTAACTATTTCATGCACTTATGTCTCCTCTTGCTAATTACAGAACAATCATTGGGAAAGGAACCACATCTACTCTTAAAGTCAGGCTGGACTCCAGGCTCGAATGAATAATCTACCTGTCTTAGCTCTCAGCTTCCCTGGTGGTTTTAAGGACTGAAACTCAGTAAGGTTGTACTTTAACTTAACAAGATGTTGAATATCAAAACTCAAGCTTATTAAAAATAGTAGGTTACTCTCCTCCTCCCTGTTTATCTAAATCTGTTTAATTTACAGCAAAATAATAATGAATACTGGGAATGGCATGTTTAGAGCACAGTCGAGCTTGCTTTATCATGTTACCCAGCCATCTGTGACCCTTCGTTAGAGGCATTTGGGAATCTTGCTCTGAATCACTCTGCTGAATGACAATGGGGTAATGCAAAAATAGTACTGTGGCTTTAAGAGCCTTGCTGCTCTCTAAGATATCTGGTCCATTTTTCTATAACAGTAAACTAAAATGGCCAAGTGCTCATTCTAGCTACAAGACAAACTTCCTAGACAATATTCTAGACAATTTTGTGATGATATGCACAGGTAAAAACAATGACGTTGCTATAATTTTCTGTACACACACCTAAACATATGTGAATTTAGAGCTTCTAAATATTAACAGAGTCACCTAAAAACACTCTCAGAATTCTACATTTAGCTGAAAGCCTGCTGATGGCACTTCTCTATCTCAGGCTGCATCACAGCACAGTGTCGAGACACTGATTGTCTTTGGTTGCAAGAGAAAGGGATTCAATTTTATTTTTCAGCTGAGTGGTGGCTGAGGAATCACATCAGGCTCCGGCAAGGCAAGGGGCTCACAGAGCTGTTCTGGTTTCTTCTCGGCCTTTCCTTTTCTGAAAGCACCTCTATCACCCAAACTATGCTTCTGATCTCTTCACGTTCCCATCCTGACAATTTTGATTGCCCAAATTCTTGCCTAATTGAAGTGTCTTTCTGTTTTTTCCGCTGTTGAGTTCTGCAACCTAAGTCTGA